TAATATTCGGAGCATGTTCAGTAGCAATAGACGAACTGCGCATGCACAAGATTGAAAATTACGTCGAGTTGGAATGTTGTAGTTGTTTCTGGAGATATTGGCAAATTTTAATTAAAAAAAACTAATAAAAACTAATGAACAATCGTGATTTTGTTTGTACATGTGTATTTGTAATGGTGATGAGACGTAATCCATGATTGCCTGTGACAATAAAGATTGCATTATTCAACGGTACCGTCGTCAGTGCGTGGATTTGTTTGAAATTTTCGACCACCGGGCATCTGCGAACACCGCCAGAAAAGATAGTATTGAAAGAAGGGCATGCCTAGACACTTTCTCTGTGATAGTTTTTTTAGGAGTTCTTAGGAATTTTTGTTGTACACGCTCGAAATCTTGTTCTTGTTACAATTGCTAATAATGAAAACATGGGAAATTAAACGTATATATAATGCATATATGTTATGGTCACGTTAAAAATCGGCGAGGTTATATCATATTCCGCTAACTCGTTACTTGTGTAAACAATCGCAAACTATCATGGACATCAAATATGAGGTAGACAATGTCCTTATCAGGATTAACTTGGGTTGAAACAAAAGGAAATAAGCCAATAAAGAGGCTTAAGGTAGCGGGACTATTATTTGCATACTTGTTTTCATCTTCTAATTGTGACCAAATGACTACAAATAGACCCTGGAAAGTATATATTTTTAGAATCGCCAGACTTCAAGCTTAACAAAGGTGTGTTTGCCATGCCCGTATCTGCATTCTATGACCCGTTACTTAATCAAAGGTGAAAAATTACTTATTCTGTAAAAAAAATAATTACGCATTTATGCTGGCGATAAGAAGTATTTTTTTCACTTTTTCTAGTTGTTCAATAGTCTGGTAAATTGAATGTGTCTGGTCAGTTTGATGCAAGCAACGCGTTTTAAAAAAACAGTGTGCTGAATTTCAATTACTGTTTTAGTCGCATTGCCTCCAACTCAAACCACAACTCGTTGGTAAATAATCGATGAAATAGTTTGTCTGGACACATTCAAGTTCCTCTCACTGTCACCTCAAAGCTGTGGAAATTTGGTGTTAATCCGACGACATAAGTATACGTTATTTTTTGTAAAGACCTTGTATTTGAAAAACATAACTCTAGAAAACGTCCACGAAGTACAGCAAAGATTTTCAAAGCTTGTTTATCGGCACAATCAATTTGTTTTCCCATCAAGGTCTGCTTTAACATGTGTAGGGACATCCAAATGTGTAAGGCTATTGGAAACCAAAAAAATAAAGGAATGGGATAGCTATAATTGGATAAATTCGGCATATGAAAACACCAAAATCAATGATTTTTTTTTCAGTGGCTGTGTGACCTTGTGTCTGAAACATTCATATGCAAATGACTAATCTGTGAAACAAACAGGGGCGGAGACAAACCACTCAAATGTTTGGAAACACTCATTGTGTGTCAGATAGCTACTGATAACACATCCTAACATTGATTTGTCTTGAGTTTATCTTTGAAACTTATAGGCACACAGATTAAACCTGTGTTGTTGATTTTGGAAAACACTACTGAGGCTGCCTTGCTTCCCTTCAGAAAATCTACATTTTAACCAACTTACATGACATTCTATGTTATGCTGACTTTATCACATGAAAGTTTATAGTGCATTTCATCAATTAATAAATAAATGTGAAAATCGTAATTTTCAACACAAATAATAGTCTCGCTACCTTAAGTGGCCACATGAAAGGCGTCGTGGCTCCTTCCGTTAATACTTTCCTTGGTACAAAATGATTACTATACCTATATTTGTTTTGTATTGCGTTCGTCGTGAGCGTAAGCATAGCATAATTACTTACAGCATGAAGTAGGCGATGGGCCATGGCGGTTTTGTTTATAGCATAAATTTAATTAATAGCGGTTATTTAGTAATTAAAGTCATATGCGTTACAAATTCTAGCTAAGACAAATTAGTATGTGTATATATGTACACGGTATAGTAGAATTCAAATTCTTCACTATTCACGATTGATTTACACTTTATTCAATATCGACAAGAAAAAATGTGTATGTCAAGTGTAATTCCCACAGTTCTATTAAAATCGTCTTTAACCAACACAGGTTGTAAATCGTAAATAAAACGTTGATGTCATGGCCGTCATGTTGAAAATAGTCAAAAACAGACTGTTAATTGTTCTGTTAACACTTCTCGGATATTATAATGTCCACCTTTAATCTTGCTGTCATCAATATCATTGAAACGCCATTTCTGTCAAATATTTGTATCATGGAGGCAGGGACTTTCCTTACTAGTAAGACAAATGAGGAACGACAATTGCTGAAAAATTTAATATAATTTTATGTACGTATGAAACAACTGTGTTAGCATATAAAGATGGTATGAAAATTATCAAATTTCTGACCAAATGAAACCTTTGAGCATATAATACAAACCCAGGTGAAAAATAAAATTTCTCGGTATTTGTAATATAGATGGAAGTTTTGAGCTCAAGAGGGCACATTTTAAAAATCTAATATGAGAGGTGAAACCACGTGGCCGCTGAATTACGTGACGAAACCACGTGACTGATCAAAAGTATTTAGTTATGGCCATAGATGCAAAACCACGTGACTGATAAAAATTAATTTAATTTTATGGCCATACTAAATACTACACTTACAAGTCGATTGGTAAAAGCACTCACGAAAAACAAATGTTTACCGTTTTTTACGAAATTCCAAGATGGCAGCCATATTATGTGACTGGTCCGAATAATTTTTCTGCTGTCTGATGTAGTTTAGTGTAGAGACAAATTTCGAATTAATGAGATCAGTGCTCCTGAACAAAATTTTCGAGTGTATTTTTCATCCCTTTCGCTATATTCAACGTGACGAAACAAGTCAAGTTTCATAACATTTGAATGAACAGTTCAACACTAATTTAGACTATATTTATTGCCAATGATATTGCCTAGGCTGTTGTCTTTAAGAAATATTCTGTATTTTTATTGTGGATGATTTTAAGGTTTTCATGTCATTCCATGTAAACCATACGATGCCATCAAGATGGGCTTCCTGTTGTTGATAGTATATCCCATTCAGATAATGAAGTTCCTCGCAAGTATCGAACCACCATCCACCATGCATTTCACTCGCACAGTGACTGCCGTCATTGTCATTGTCTATATCAGGGGTTGAGAATTGTTGTCCATTGTGATACATCATTCCATCGCCAGCTGTACCTGCATATCCTTCGCAATGTAATGCATAGTTATTGTTTTCATCGTCAATCCAGAATACTTCATACTCGGCATATGCAGTTTCACCATCAAACTTTTCTAAGTCTATTCTCAACTTGTATGACGACTGGTTAGTCAAATGATATATGTTGTCATTACCTATCCAGTATTCACCGTCGATGTTTCCAAATCCATGTTTATACTCTTCCCATTCTACATCAAAGTTAAAAGATCCATCTTGCCTATGTTGTATGACAGTCCATACATCTGAGTCTGTAATATCACACCAAACTTCCAATGGTTGCGATACCCCAGTAGGTTGTATTTGATAAACACCACTTTCTCTGCCAAATGCATCACAATCTAAGAACAAATGAAAACATGTGCCATCATTTTTTTCGGTTTGATTTTAACAAGAACATTGTGTCTAATCTTATGTATGAATCGACTCAATCGGCTGTTTTGGAATCATTAGCAGATCACTGATTTGCTGCATAATGACCATAATTGAATGTTCCCAGTTTGTAGTGCGATTGTCCCATGTTTCACTTTGTAGTGCAGATTATTAGTAGTCTCGTTGTGGAATTCTGCATAGTCATATACAAATAGAAGGCGATAATATCCAGCTAAACCATGAATCGTCAACATTTTTGTTAAATCTTTTATCATAAACTTTAACAAAATTTCTCAATCAACCTGATTAGATTTGTTAAATGCTATAAATCATGACTACACATTCATCCCTTTATTTGCTGAATGGTTTAGTCCTAATTAATACAAGCACTATCATATTAATAAGGTAAAACAGTTCTAGTAGATTTTGTTATTAAATTCATTGAAAAAATATAGTCACTAAAGTTATTGAACAAACTTAAAAGGCGCCCTCTGTTAATGGGATTTCCAAAAATGTGACATAATAAAAAATTAAACAAAAATAATTCGTAGAAAAAAAACACATGGAAATTATAGAATTTCTCATTCAAAAAATAAGCTTCTAGCATGGTATTACATCTCTCGATCTCCCCCAAGACAGAAGGTGCCCATCTGATCAATGGATGTCAGGGTCCACCATAATGAAGGGGAAAACCTGTATGAGACCGCTTGACCTTGAAAGGGGGTGACATGAAATCCGGATTGGGAGTGGTGCAGAGGGAACAGATGTTCATCATCTACTCAAGAATAAGATAACTAAACTGTGAAATCTCGCGGAGCAGGGGACATGAACTGCGCAACACAGGGAAGATAGTGAGCCTTGTGGCCTGCGGGACAGTCATGTGCGAGGAGGGATGATAATTGGTAGACATGAAAACGCTGTGCAGTAAATTATGGTTTTCCTCCAAAATATCCTGGTAACTCAAAACCAGGTAACTCAAAAAAGTGGCAAAGCGAAGCCATGCACGTAATCCCATTGCATAGGAATGGACTGTATGACATACTGTTACTAACTGAACATTATTCTGCATGGCATTTGGCATGGCTCTTCTTGTGCGAAAGGACTGTTTCTCAGAGATGACAAACCTGCAAACATGATAGAGAGGGTCCAGGTATATGTTCTACCTTAAAGGTGGAATTATCACGGGCTGCTATGACTAGATGGAACATGAGTTTAATTATAGCTAGCGATGTTCAGTGCCCGTTGTTGTTAATGTTTAACACTGCCACGGTGAAATAACATTCATCTATGGAACCAAAATTGTCTCCAGGCAACAATGAGAGGAAATAATTCTCAGAAGGCAATACACATTTTCCAGAAGGAGTTCATTAGACCAGGGGGCTTGAAACCATTAATCGGGGATAGAAACACCCATACACAGTTCCATGGAGGATTATGATGGTGTAGAGACATCTACAAAACTTGAAATACCATTCCACTAAATAAATAAATAAATAAATAAATAAATAAATAAATAAATAAATAAATAAATAAATAAATAAATAAATAAATAAATAAATAAATAAATAAATACTAAGTGAGTGAGTGAGTGAGTGAGTGATATTACCTGTACATATTGTTGTAATATCTGTGCAGGCTTCATTGTTGCTTGTATCATCATCTGTGCTTGGATCAATCTGAAGTGCAATACATACCCTTGAATAACTTGCACATTGTATTGCATCCAAACTTAGGGTAAACTTTGTACTACTGATTTTTGTTTCGCCTGCAGCCACTGGATATGGGCCAGTGGCATCTACCATAGTTGACAGTTTTGAAGAAGTCATATCTGCAAAATAACCTTGAACACCAGTGACTTCAGCTCCGCCATTTTTTTGATGTAGTTCTATTATTACAAATATTTGAATCTCTCTGTTAACGATGTAAGCTGTACCAGAAGCAGGTGTAGTTATTACCAATGAGGTAGCCGCCACATCTGAAAGATACGAGAACTGGTTATCAGTGAGAAAACAATGCACATATGGTTCGTGAATGTCGGATAACATCATATTACTGTCGCATACGACTTGTTTACCACTTCCGTGTGACTGAGAATGTTCTAGAACCCGTACTGTGTCTGGGTGGAATTTTTAGAAACTGGTAATGGAACATTCTAGAAATTTGCAGTAAGTTCCAGACGCATTATGTATGCTGATGTA